TAAAAAAATTTTGGAAAATTTCTCTTTTTATAGAACATTTTTGGAAAATTTCTCTTTCTATAGAAAAATTTTGGAAAATTAATCTTTTTATAGAAAATGTTTGGAAAATTTCCCTTTTTATAGAAAATTTTTGGAAATTTTCTCTTTTTATAGAAAATTTTTGGAAAATTTTCTCTTCATAAAGAACATTTTTGCAAAATTTCTCTTTTTTATAAAATTTTTTTGAAAAAATTCTCTTTTATATAGAATAATTTTTGGCAAACTTCTCTTTTATAGAAAATGTTCTCTTTTTATAGAAAATTTTTGGAACATTTCTCTTTTTATAGAAAATTTTTGGAAAATTTCTCTTTTTATAGAAAATTTTTGGAAAATTTCTCTTTTTATAGAAAATTTTTGGAAAATTTCTCTTTTTATAGAAAATTTTTGGAAAATTTCTCTTTTTATAGAAAATTTTTGGAAAATTTGTGTTTTCATAGAAAATTTTTGGAAAATTCCTCATTTTATAGAAAATTTTTGAAAATTTCTCTTTTTGAAGAAATTTTTTGCAAAATTTCTCTTATAAAAATTTTTTGAAAAATTTTTCTTTTATATAGAAAAATGTTGGAAAATTACTCTTTTTTATAGAAATTTTTGTTGGAAAATTTCTCTTTTTTTATAAAATTTTCCAACATTTTCTCTTTTTTTTAGAAAATATTTTTCTGAAAATGTCTCTATTTTTAGGCAAAATTTCTCTTTTTATAAAATATTTTAGAAAAATGTCTCTTTCTTATAAAATTTTCGGAAAATTTTAACTTTTTTTAATTTTTAAAATTTTCTGTTTTTTATAAAATAGTTTCAAAAGTTTTCTTTTTATAGAAAATTTTCCAATATTTCCTTTTTTTATAGAAAAATTTCAAAAATTTCCCACTTTTTATAAAAATAAAATACAAAATTCCCATTTAATAGAAAATTGTCTAAGAAAAACAACAAAACAATTCCTTATTACAATTTAATATTATTTCCCTTCGAAATATATTTCCTGTATTTCAGACAAAAAAAATTGCAACAGTCATTAATTTCAACCATCTGCACCATCAAACCAAGTCTTCGAACTAGACAGACATTCAGCCGGAATGTAATTTCTTGTTATTTTATAAGGAACTTTTTTTCCCTCATTTTACACAATTACTATCAACATTATCATCACTACTGACACTCATACACACAGTTTAGAAAAAAAAAACATTATAATTTTATTTTATCATTAAAAAATAAAAACAAATACAAATTAAAAACACGTCCGTCTGTCTTTCAGTCTTTAGTGGGATCGTCTCTATGTTTGTCTATCTAACTGACATTGTTTTCATAAACTACTTAACATAATTATTCTCAATTTTTTTATACAAACTACACAAAATACACACATACACACACTTCAACTTCTACAACTGCACACTTTTACTAATACAGAAAACTAAACCCTGCAGTTTAAGGTAGCAGTCCCGAAAGATTTGAAAAAAATACTTTTCGAAAGGAAAACCTTTGACTCCCTGTAAAACTGCTGGGAAATTTTTGCACACTCATACACAATTACATAGACTCGTGCACTCTTTGTTGAAAGAACTATAATAGAAAGCTGTGATAATGCAACTTTTTTTCTATAGAATTTTAATAGGAAAAAGGAAGAACGCAAAAAAGAAAATAAAATGGAAAAATTATGTATGATGAATTAAATTTTTCTAAAAATAACTTTTTGTTGTACTATGCCCAGATTGTAGTAGAAAGTTAGTGGGATAAATGGAAAAGAAAACAGGAAATATGTAAAAACTACCGTTTTGATGGTTTTAAATTTGAATTGGGTTTAAGACCGTTTAACTAGAGTGAGGTGTTTTTTTATGTTTTTCTTTTATTTAGAACCATCTGCTCCCAATTGTTATAATTTTTGAATGCAAAAGAAAATTGTGTCAGATTTAAATTTTACAAAGCATGATAAAGCAAGCAGTGTCAAGTAGAGAGAGGAGTGAAGAATTAGGAAGCGGTAAAATGTTTCTATAAAAATTTTAATATTTTTTTAAAGATAAATTTTCCAAAAATAGAAGATATTCTTTCAAAATTTCTCGTTTCATAGAAATTTTCTCTTTTTATAGAAAATTTTTCCTTTTTATCGACAACTTTTGGAAAATTAATTTTTTATAGAAAAATGTTGAAAAGTTTCTCTATTTTATAGACAATTTGTGGAAAATTTCTCTTTTTGTTAGAAAATTTTTGGAAAATTTGTCTATTTTATAGACATTTTTGGAAATTTTAACATTTTTATCGAATATTTTGGGAAAATTTCTCTTTTTTATCGAATATTTTTGGGAAATTTCTCTTTTTTATCTACATTTTTTGAAAAATTTCTGTTTTATATAGAAAAATAATGGAAAATTTATCATTTTTATAGACAATTTTAGGAAAATGTATCTTTTTTTATAGAAAATTTTTGGAAAATTTCTCTTTTTTATAGAAAATTTTTGGAATATTTCTCTTTTTATCGACTATTTTTGAAAAATTTTCTTTTTTTTTTTTTGAAAAATTTTGGAAAAATTCTCTTTTTTATAGAAATTTTTTGGAAAATTTCTACTTTTTATAGAAATTTTTTTAAATTTCCCTTTTATATAGAGAAATGGTGGAAAATTTATAGACAATTATTGGAAAATTTCTCTTTTCTTATAGAAAATTTTTGGAAAATTCTCTTTTATATACAAAAATGTCGGAAAATTTCTTCTTTTTATAGAAAATTTTTGGAAAATTTCTCTTTTTTTAGAAAATGTTTGGAAATATTCTGTTTTTTTGTAGAAAATTTTTGGAAAAATTCTCCATTTTATAGAAAATTTTTTCTTTTTTATAGAAAATATTTGGAAAATTTTTCTTTTTTATGGAAAATATTTGGAAAATTTTTCGAAAATTTCACTTTTTTAATAGAAAATCTTCGGATTTCTCTTTTTATAGAAATTTTTTAAAAAATTTCGATTTTAATAGAGAATTTTTAATTTGTTTTCTAGAAAATTTAAAAAAAAAAAATTTAATATAATTTTCGAAAAATGTCTCTTTTTTATAGAAAAATTCTTCATTATGGAGAATTTTCTCTTCTTTTATGAAGAATTTAAGGAGAAATTTCTCCTTTTACAGAAATTAAAAAAAAATTATCTTGGTTTTTTGAAAAATATTCAAAAATTGGTGTTTTTATTGAGTATTTAAGAAAATTTTTATTTTTTATAAAAAATTTTCTGTCTTCTATAGAACAATTTTTACATTTTATTATTTTTATAAAAAAACATTTTGAACATTTCTCATTTTATAGGAAAATTTAATATTCGTTTTTCAAATGTCTGTTTTTAATAGGAAATGTTTGAATTTTTTTTAGATTTTTTCTAATTTTAATTTTTTTTTTTCAAAATTTCACATTTTTATAGAAAATTTATATTCTTAAAGAATATTTTCACAAATTTCTGTTTCTTAAGACAATTTTTAAAAATTCTGTAGAAAATTTTCTCAGAATTTGCCCTCAACTCTCGTAAAACATGGCTGTATAATCTAAATTTATATGTGTGTGTGTGTATGAGCACATTGTATTCCTCAATGTTACATGATGACTTTTTCAGCTTTCATCTTTTTTCATAATTTTCTTGTAATACCTTATTATCTGTACAGAAAAATGGCAAAAAAAATGTCTTATAAAAGAGGAAAAATAATGAATGCACTTTTTTTCAGCTGAGAGTTTAAAAGGAAGTGGATTTACAAAATTGCATAGGAAATGGGGGTCTGTGAGTGTCTGTGTCTGTTATATGTATGTTGCCAGATAATTAAGTTTTAACCTTACACTAACAAACCGTAATTTTTTTCGGAAATGTTTTGTATTTTAGCTTTTGTCGAAAAAATGGCAACTAACTTTGTAACCATCAGCCACATGTATTAACATTGACTTTATTATGAATATTTTTTTATCCTTATTGCTGTTACTTTTTGCGACTTAAATTATAATACATTTTAACATTGTTGGATATTATAATTGGAGTTTATAACCACAAATAGTTGCTTGTAAAAGAACACAGTTCATCGTACCTGTTACATTAGGGGAAGGTAACTGATATTTACAGAAAATAAAATTTAAAAAAAAAAATTAATTCATTTATCTCTGTTTAGAATTTTATTTTTCTAGAAAATTTTCTTTAAATTCCAAATATTTTTAGAAAATTCCGTATTTTATGAACAAAATCTGCCTTAAAGATCTATAAGCAAAAAATTTCGAAAAAGTCACTTCATAAAAAAATTTTTTAAAATCTTTTCTCTTATGAAAAACTTTAGGAAATTTCTCTTAATATTAAAATTTTAAATATTTCAACTCGATCTGCGATGGTAAACAATTAATGGCATCTTCCTCTTAAGTATGTATGCATATGTAGATATGTCAATCTAAAGAGTACTAGTGCAGCTATTATTGTATTAAGTTCATATTTTAATACACTTTACTATACGTATTCAAAATGTTTTAAATAATTTGTTACTCTTTTTTATTTATTAAAAATCATCCAATTCCCCGTGCTATTATCAAACATAATTTTATTCCGTCTAATAATAATATTCCGAGTCCTAATCCTATTCTTTTTCCTATACATATTCCTAATCCCACTCATGTTTCTAGCCCTACTCCTTGTATTCCAGGTCCTAATCTTAGTCATATTCATATTTCTTGCTCTCAAATTCCTAGTCCTATTTCTAGTCCTAGTCCTATTCCTAGTCCTATTCCTAGTCCTATTCCTAGTCCTATTCCTAGTCCTATTCCTAGTCCTATTCCTAGTCCTATTCCTAGTCCTATTCCTATTCCTAGTCCTATTCCTATTCCTATTCCTAGTCCTATTCCTATTCCTATTCCTATTCCTATTCCTAGTCCTAGTCCTAGTCCTAGTCCTAGTCCTAGTCCTAGTCCTAGTCCTAGTCCTATTCCTATTCCTAGTCCTAGTCCTATTCCTAGTCCTTTTCCTAGTCCTATTCCTATTCCTAGTCCTTTTCCTAGTCCTATTCCTATTCCTAGTCCTTTTCCTAGTCCTTTTCCTAGTCCTATTCCTAGTCCTATTCCTATTCCTATTCCTAGTCCTATTCCTAGTCCTTTTCCTAGTCCTATCCCTAGTCCTATTCCTAGTCCTATTCCTAGTCCTAGTCCTATTCCTATTCCTTTTCCTAGTCCTATTCCTATTCCTAGTCCTATTCCTATTCCTATTCCTAGTCCTAGTCCTAGTCCTAGTCCTATTCCTATTCCTATTCCTAGTCCTAGTCCTATTCCTATTCTTAGTCCTATTCTTAGTTCTATTCTTAGTCCTATTCATAGCCCTATTCATACTCCTATTCATAGACCTATTCATAGTCCTATTCCTAGTCCTATCTTATTCCTAGTTCTATTCATATGTCTTGCTCCTAGTCCTATTCCTAGTCTTATTCCTAGTCCTAGTCCTATTCCTAGTCCTTTTCAAAGTCTCATTCATGGTCTTATTCCTAGTCCTATTCCTAGTCCTATTCCTAGTCCTATTCCTATTTCTAGTCCTAGTCCTAAGTCCTAAGTCCTAAGTCCTAGTCCTATTCCTATTCATAGTCCTATCCCTTGTCCTATGTCTAGTCCAATTTCTAGTCCTATTCCTTTTCGCATTCCTAGTCATATTAATAGTTATATTCCTAGTCCTATTCTTAATCCTAGTCTTAGTCCAATACCTAGTACTATTTCTACTACTAGTCGAATTCCGTTTCCTAGTCTAGACCTATTTGTGCTCATATTCCTTGACCTATTCTTAGTCCTATTTTTATTTATATACCTTTCTTAGTCCCATTTCCAATCGTGTTTCAGATATTAATAAAGTCTTGAAAGTATATTTAACAACTTGTCATTAATTGCAATATAAATACATATTACAAGTTCCTTTTTTTAATTTTACTGAAGGGCATACAAAATTCTGCCTTAATAAATATATAATTTTATCACACAAAAAAACCAACGGAAGTGCCAACGACTTCATTAGACGTTTTAATATGTTGTAACTAAAGTTTCCTCCTCCTATCCTTCTCAAAGAAAAAAAAAACACGCATCGTTTTCCAAGTATATGTACATATCTGTCTGTGGGTGTCTTTTCATGTTTAACCATTTTTTCGCTTTTAACATAATTCACTATAACGCGCATATAGTTAACATGGCCTTAAGTGTTAAAGTTTTTAACACACTTACAATTTAATTTCATCAACACCCCTATAAACCCTAAACACAGCCTTCAACACTCCAACAACAGCCGCTAACCTAAAAATAAAGAAGTTGGCTTACATCAGGAAAAGACGAAGACAAAAAAAAAAAAAACGGCAACAACATGTTGTCGACTCTAATGTTGTGCAAATTGTAGCAGATACAAAGATGGCTTAAAGTGACTTAACTTGTGTGTGTATTCTTTCCTCTATTTTTCCTTTGCTACTTTCTTATTTTTCCTTTTATAGTACTAGTTTTAGGTTGTGTGAACCAGGTAAAAGCAATTAAAAAACCCGTTTCTTTTTCTCTCTTGGTATTAAATTTATGGCATTAGAGGTGGTTTCAATTTCTTGGGACCAAATTGAAAAATTAAAGAAAATTGTCGATAATACTTGCAAGAATAGCGTCTTCTTAAAACTTACAAAGACACACAACTAGTTTTAATTGAAACTAAAATACAGGAATTTTTTGATGACTTTCTACTTCTTTTTCTATTTCGTTTTAGCCGATGTAAACATTATTGCCAAGATGCCTTTCTTAAATACAACTATAGTTTTAGCACAATAACAATTTAATTAAAAACTATTTCCTGATTGTGCTAGATTTTGGTTTTACTGGTCAATTATCCGATAATAAATGACATAGACTTCTTAGTAGTAGAGTAGTGGGAATGAGAAGAGAGATAGTGTGTTAGAGAAATTCAAAGTATACGCAGTTCGTTTGGTAAGTAATATTCTTAGTCACTATTATAGTAATTACGGTAGTACTTTCTGATAATTTTTATATCCCATTACTCAGTATTCTTTTTAGTCTAATATCCACTAATATTTTATATTTCTTAGAGCTATTTCTAGTCCTATTCCTAGTCCTAGTCTTAGGCTTAGGCTTAGGCTTAGGCTTAGGCTTAGGCTTAGTCTTAGTCTTAGTTTTAGTCTTAGTCTTAGTCCTATTCCTAGTCCTTTTCCTATTCTTAGTCCTAGTCCTAGCCCTATTCCTAGTCCTAGTCCTGGTCCTGGTCCTATTCCTAGTTCTATTCCTATTCCTAGACCTAGTTTTATTTCAATTCCTACTCCTATTCCTATTAGTACTTCTAGTCCTATTCCTAATCCTACTTCTAATCCTAATCCTGGTCCTATTCCTATTCTTAGTCCTAGTCCCATTCCTAGTCCTATTCCTAATCTTAATCCTAGTCCTAGTACTAATCCTATTCCTAGTCCTATTCCAAGTCCTATTCCTAGTCCTATTCTTAGTCCTATTCCTAGTCCTATTCCTATTCCTAGTCCTATTCCTAGTCCTATTCCTAGTCCTATTCCTAGTCCTATTCCTAGTCCTATTCCTAGACTTATTCCTAGTCCTATTCCTCGTCCTATTCCTAGTCCTATTCCTAGTCCTATTCCTAGTCCTAGTCCTAGTCCTAGTCCTATTCCTATTCCTAGTCCTATTCCTATTCCTATTCCTATTCCTAGTCCTATTCCTATTCCTAGTCCTATTCCTAGTCCTATTCCTAGTCCTATTCCTAGTCCTATTCCTAGTTCTATTCCTAGTTCTATTCCTAGTCCTATTCCTAGTCCTATTCCTAGTCCTATTCCTAGTCCTATTCCTAGTCCTATTCCTATTCCTAGTCCTATTCCTATTCCTAGTCCTAGTCCTAGACCTATTCCTATTCCTATTCCTAGTCCTATTCCTAGTCATATTCCTAGTCCTATTCCTAGTCCTATTCCTAGTCCTATTCCTAGTCCTATACCTATTCCTAGTCCTAGTCCTAGTCCTAGTCCTATACCTATTCCTAGTCCTATTCCTAATCGTATTTCTAGTCCTATTCCTAGTCCTATTCCTAGTCCTATTTCTAGTCCTAGTCCTTTACTTAGTCCAATTTCTAGTCCTATTCCAAGTCCTATTCCATGTCGTACTGAAACCAAAACTTATAAAACAACTGAATTCTTTTGCGGACAATAAATTTAATACAAACCACTGTTGGCTTAATTAATTTAATAACTACACTGATAGAAACAGACATAAAGCCACTAGAAGGATATTATAGTTGTGGTCTGATTTATTTTCTCTAAAAGTTTCCCTAATTAAGCCCAGATCCTTTTCTAAGTGTAAATGTTTATAATACATTTTGACTCTATGTTGTATGATGCAAACAATCTTGTAGTTTCAACATTTGGAAAATTATTTATTCATCGGTATTCCTTTATACACATGCAACAAAAGCTACAGCAACAACGTTCATATGTATATTAAGTAAGTAAACACACATTTATGCAATATCCAACTGTTATAAATATAAAAGGAAATAATTAGAATTGTAATAAGATACAAATAGATGGATGGACAGACAAACAACTAGTCAACCCAACCTACACATTGATATGGAAATCTATTACATTATTAAATAAATTTAAATGTAATAACAACAATGCAACAAATGTTGTATAATAAATAAAGGGTAATTTCTTTTAAAGTAATTTCCACGAAATTAACAACTTGTAAATAATATTTTTAATATTAAAACAGATTTTATATCTGGGAAAACTTGGCAGAAAAACCAAAACAAGATTCCAAAAAAAAAAAAATTGAATTATAGGGAGCTATTAAAAATTCACCCTTTTATATTACAGTAACCAATAGTTATTTCACTCTACATATGAATGAAAATATACATATGTTTATTTCTAATATAAATTAAATAGATCGACAGGATATGATAGAAAGTATAAGAGAGTAATGGTGGTAACTAAGTAGAAGTACATATGATAAATGTTTATTATTGTCTTTATTTGAAAACTGTCATGATGATGTGAATGAAAATTGTGACAATTGCAGTAGAATTAAGTTTTTGGTCAATTAACTATGAAATAATATTTAAAGCTGAACTGACTTAACAGTGATATGTCTTAAATAAAGATAAATACGAACTTTATTTATCTCTGTTTAGTGCAGTTTGCAGGTAGAATAGTTCAAATCACAACATTTTTTCTAATCCTATTCCAAGTCCTATTCTTAGTCCTACTATTCCTAGTCCTATTCCTAGTTCTATTAATAGTACTATTCCTATTCCTAGTCCTATTCCTAGCCCTACTCCTAGTCATATTCCTATTCCTAGTCCTAATCCCATTCCTATTCCTAGTCCTACTCCTAGTCCTATACCCTGTCCTATTTGTCCTGTTCCTAGTCTTACTCGTACTCCTAGTCCTAGTCTTAGTCCTATTCCAATTCCTAGTCCTATTCCTATTCCTAGTCCTATTCTTAGTCCTAGTCCTTGTCCTTTTCTTAGTCCCATACATATTCCTAGTCCTATTACTAGTCTAGTAATATTCCTAGGACTAGGAAGTTCACGACCTAGACGTATTTCAAGTCCTATTCCTAGTCTAGTAATTTTCCTAGGACTAGGAAGTCCAAGAACTAGACCTATTTCTAGTCCTATTCCTAGTCCTCTTCTTAATTCTATTCCTAATCCTATTCCTAGTCTAATTCCTAGTCCTATTCCTAGTCCTGTTCCTAGTCCTATTTCTGGTCCTAGTCCTATTTCTGGTCCTAGTCCTATTCCTAGTCCTACTCTTATTCCTAGTCCTATTCCTAGTCATATTCCTAGTCCTATTCCTAGTCCTATTCCTAGTCCTATTCCTAGTCCTATTCCTAGTCCTATTCCTAGTCCTATTCCTATTCCTATTCCTAGTCCTATTCCTATTCCTAGTCCTATTCCTATTCCTAGTCCTATTCCTAGACCTATTCCTAGTCATATTCCTAGTCTTATTCCTAGTCATATTCCCATTCATATTCCTAGTCCTATTCCTAGTCCTATTCCTAGTCCTATTCCTAGTCCTATTCCTAGTCCTATTCCTAGTCCTATTCCTAGTCCTATTCCTAGTCCTATTCCTAGTCCTATTCCTAGTCCTATTCCTAGTTCTATTCCTAGTCCTATTCCTAGTCCTATTCCTAGTCCTATTCGTAGTCCTATTCCTATTCCTATTCCTAGTCCTATTCCTAGTCCTATTCCTAGTCCTATTCCTAGTCCTATTCATAGTCCTAGTCCTAGCCCTATTCCTATTCGTAGTCCTATTCCTGGTCTTAGTCTTAGTTAGTTAGTTTGAAAGGAGGATGTATATACATCAAATCCGAAGAAATACACCTAGGCCTCTATCGGGACTGTTTTGCGCTCCTTAACCAGTGCATCAGGTGGGAATCGAACCCACCACCTCCGGTCTACCAGACTAGAACACTAACCACTAACCTACCGGAGGCCAGTAGTCTTATTCTTCGTCTTAGTGTTAATCTTAGCCCTAGTCCTAGTCCTATTCCAATTTCTATTCCTATTCCTAACCCTAG